TAGGAAGCTGGTGTCTAATAGCACTGCACCAGCTCCAGACTGCCTTTCTTGGGAGTCTAGTTCCACATGACAAATAAACTTGTATCTGTTTAAGGTAGATTCAGATAGGCACAATTTTTGTTTGCAATCCTAACTGGACATTATATATATATTATATATATATATATATGTAAACTGATCTGGCTTATTAAATGACTTCAGAACCAGTGTTCTTGAAGATGAAAGTGTCCACCCAACTCTCACAAAAATCATCTTTGGAAGAAATCATCTTTCTACTCTCCCAGGCACTCAGTAAGCATGGCTAAGAAAATAACCAGTGTCCTGGCCCTTCACAGAAGAGCTCTTAGTGGCTGTGCTTTGGGATTCTGTCTCCAGCACTGCAATCCATAAAGTTCTAGGAAATACTTACCATCCTCTATGACAAAACTCCCATTGTCTTTCGGCAGGGACGATGTTGAAGACTTGGATCTCTATGGCAACAACAACAGCTTTGAAGATCTGCCAGGTGAAAGTTATCCCAGGCTTTAGGACCAGGAAAAGAGTAACTGATCTGTTTTTATCTCATGGTCGCTGTGCATCGAGTAACTATTTGTGTTTTCCTTCTTGTTTTGGCTGCTGGGAAGCTCTGACAAAGTTTTAATCCTATCTCTGGAAACTATTTTTACCTGATGATGTGTTCTTACTCTCTAAATGATCTCTGATTCTATCTCACTTTCTGCTTTGTGTGTTGCCTTTAGCCCAGTTCACTATCTATTCATTTTATGTTGTTTACTATTTTTTGTAAACTTCTCAAATGCTTTATGAAACAGGAAATATTTAAGATAAATAATTTTAGAAGCACCATCATCATAATAAAAATATAGCTAATGTATTGATCATTTCTATGACTGAAGCGCTGCCCTAAGTATTGAGCCTATTTTATTTACCATAAATAAAAGTATTTTTATTACTCTCATGAGAATTTTATAGATGAGAAAAATCAAGGCACACCGAGGGTTAAGTAATTTGTCTAAGATCATACAGAAAATAAGTGATAAATCCAAGACTCAAGCCCAAGTATTCTGAATTATACAAAAGAAAAATAATTTAATTTCTTAAATAAGTACAGGTCTTCTGGTTTTACAGGCTGAAGCATAACCTTGTCCAGCCCAAGGGAGAACCCTATTACACATCTCATCCATACCATCACACCAGATGATCCATATCAACAGAGTGAAATGAGACAATGAAAATCAAAACAACAGCTAATCCAAAAAAAAAAAAGAACTGGCTTTTGATCTTGGAACTCTAGAGAAGGTATTCATCCATCCATTTATTCATTCAACAACCTCTGTACATGGTGCAGATGCTGGAAACAGAGATGAAATAGACAGAGCATCTGCCCTCCAGAACTCAGGTACAATGAGGGAGTCAGGTAGGTGCACGGCATCATGGGAACAGGATGGGAGGGCTGGTAGGAGACCACAGCAGGGCATGACAGGATCATTCTGAGAACAGCTTAGCCCTTGGCCTCGGTGTTTCCTGTCATCTGGGAGTAAGAAGAACCTGCTCTCTTAAAGGGCTCCTGTGATGACTCTGCACATATAGAACTTAGCCTAGCCTGCATGAGTTAGCCATTAGTCTTAAGGAACAGTGGATGACAGCCCGGGGGCCTCACTCAGACACCCACATGCACTCGCACAGACACTAGTCCCCAGAAACTCAAAGATCTGAAGCTGCCTGCTGCCAGAGCTGACTCTAACTTACAGTCCATGGGTAGGCCTGCCTCTCTCTTTTGGATGCCACCATCCCAGCTAGATTCAGATGTCACTGGAATCCATGCCCACACAGGATGTGGGCATTCCTTCAAGATGCACCTCAACATCTTCCTCCACAGTGCCTGGCTCACATCGTGCCTGCTCAAGATTTCTGCCACATTAGCTCCCCTTCACTTTATCCCCCTTGGTACTTGAACTCTGCAGTTCACTACACAATTGCCTAGCTGCACCACGGGGGTGAGGGTTTCCTTCAACAGGTCTAAGGAAAGAGCCACCTCGAACTGCAAAGGGCAGGTGAGTCTCAAGTGAGTTATTGATTGAAGCCAGTGAAAAAACATATGTGCTGCCCCTGCCAGTAGTTCTGGGGAGTGGCATGTCTCCTCGGTTTTGTGCAGTGGCAAAACCAGAAGCAATTAATCATTTTCTCACCAACTCCAACTCCAATTTAATTTAATAGTTCCCTCTTCAAGTTTGTTTTGTCATGCTATCAGCCAAGTCAGTCAAATATTACAATTCCTTTCTAAATATTCCAGCAACCAGATGGCAGGAGCACTACTGTGACAAGGCAAAACTCACCTCAAGATAACTTCGTGATGCACAGTCACGCTTGATGGCGCTCAGTTATGGGGACTCAACCACAGACACCCCTACAACTGCTCCACTTAACTCATGGTCTTTACACCCCCAACTCATAATTCCAAGAATAAGACAAGCAGCCAATTCTGCAATTTGAAAATGGTGGTAAAACAAATATTTTTCAACTTAGGCAGAAGTACACATTAGGACTTTTCCCTAGACGTAATATTACTGTACCCTAAAGTTTTAAATATTTCTGCACCAAAGTTAATGTGCATTTATAACATACTTGTCAGAAAAAAAGATTTATTTCCTTCTGCTATTTCTGCAGGTTTTTAAACTTTAGCATTAAGAGACATATATTTATAAATCACAGAAAGTAGAACTTGGCTGATTCTGCTGAGAATTCTGTATGTTCTCTTCTATTGTTCATCCAGTTTTGGCGTCTTTTCTATGTTCTATTATTCTTTGTCTGTGCGTTGGAGTGACTGCAAAATCACAACCTGTACTATATGGTTTCTGAACAATAAATCTCCTAAAAAGAGCGTTGCCAGGCTGGGCCAGCTGGCTGTCTCCTGTTCCTAAAACTGTATGTTCTTAGACACACACACACTTCCTCCATCCCTTCTGCTTCAGAGTAACTTAGTGTAACACAGTGTCACACGCACAAATGCATAAAAACAGAGGCTCCTGGAAGGACAAAAGCAGGAGGTGGGGGGCAGCCCTACAGCCCTGTGAGGCAGCCTACAAGTCTCTGTCACCCTGACAGCTCTGTTCTGATTGGGGTGGCCCAATTGCCTGTCGATGGCACATGCCTAGAATTTGAAGTGTCTGCACCCAGGTTCTTATCCTTGGCTTCCCTGAACAAGTCATTTAACCTCTGTCATTTTTTATGTTCTCATGTGTAGAAAAGGCACAATAATAATACTCCCCATAAAGAACTGCTGTGACTCAAATGACGTAACATGTGAAAGAGTCTTTCATAAAGTGCTCTGTAGTATATATGCCTTTCCGTTATTTTTTTAAAACTTTTACTCTCTTATCCTCTCCTTTTTCTCCTGACTTGGTTTTTGTGGTTTTTAAATGTATCTCTAAAATACATTAGCTGGAAAATTGCAGCAGTCTGTGTGCTACCACATTGAGTGGATTTTAGCATTAAGTTTTTATTTACTTTTTTATTGAGGTAAAACTTACATAAGTCAAGTGCACAAGTCTCAAGGGCATAACTTCATAAATCTTTATATGTACACCTGCATGGCCCCTAGTAGGTCAAGACAGGGAGCATTTCCAGAAGCCTTCCTCATGCTCTGTCCAGGCCAACACAAGACCCACAGGCATTGACTTTTCTGACCTCCATCGCTTTATCTAGAGTTTTTGTTTTTTTTTTAAAGTGTTTTAAAAAGAAGGCTGGCATCTCAGTGACAACTACTAATGCTTATTCCAAGAAATGCACTTCTAGTCTTCTCTCTGAAGTGACAAAGGATTTTGGCAAGGAGGAGACTGAGGTCCACAAACTTTCTAAATCACACAGATCGTGTCAAACAGAGGCCATCATTTCCAGCCAGGGTCCAAGATGCTTGACAGAGGCAAAGCACAAACAGCCCAACTTGCTGCTAAGGAGGAACTTTCCTTCCAAATGCAGCGGGTTACCAAGCGCCCTGAGTATCAGGGATGCCTCTGATCAGTCTTAGGACGACTGAAACAGCTCTCCTGGCATTCACCCCCGAGCCGGTCCGCAGACCATCTTTCCAGGGAGTGTCGCACCGCCCCCGCCGCGGGCGCACCCACGCGGCTGGCAGCCACCCTCAGAAGGTACTGTTCTTGGGAAACAGTGCTTGCCAGCCCACGGGGGCCGGGCTGGGCTCCCCCAGAAATCCCAAGTGGCCAGGTGCCCCTCCTCCAACTCCGTTCCCCCTTGTCCTCCGGGGTAGCTACGGAGGGGAATGGTCTCTGTCTCTTCCAACCCTCTCAAAGGTCTTTAAGACCCCTTTGTGGCCATATGTAAATTTACCGCGCAGTCTGACTGACTACCAACCTCAGGGACTTGCAGATGAGCCCAGGAAGGTTGTCAGGACATCTACTCTCTAGCCCCAGCTCTGTCACCACAAGCTGTGTGACCTTGGACAAGTCACTTCACATCTCCGGAGTTGACTTTCTCACGTGAAGGCTGTTTCTGTCTTCCCAAAGTCACCTCCGGCTCTGTCATTTCCTAGATCTTTACTACGCCTCAGCCCTCCCGGCGACAACCCCCACCCTGGAGAGACCCCAGCCTTTTGTTCTGGGGGTGAAGCAGGGAAGGAAAGGAGAGCTTTGCGGAGGACCAGGTCAGGGAGGCCAGAGCGCCAGAAGCTGCTTACTGGAGACTCGAGTCCTGGGAAGTCACCAGGCAACCCCGCGGTGACCCCGTTCTCTCTGCGATCCCGTGCCGGCCCTGGCCCCGAGCGGCGAGGCGAAGAGCGGGTGGCCGGGGCTAGGACAGCGCGGAACAGAGCCCAGAAAGCGGCCCGGCCGGACGCTGAAGCCTGATGGGTCCCTGGACCCCCGCAGGCTCGCAGCACCCCGCCTCCCTCAGCCCGAGGCCACGCCACCTCGGGACTGGCCTGAGCCGGCTGCCGCCGCACCACGCACCCTCGGACACCGACCCGGACTCGCGCGCGCAGCCGCTACCTGCCGCTTGCCGTGGCGGGGACAGGGCTGCACTCGAGCTCCGATCGTCGTCCCCGCAGCCTCCCGGCTCCCGGGTCCCGGGTCCGTCCCGCAGCCACCGCGCTCCCGGCGGCGCCACTGCGGCCGCGCTGCCTCGGTGCTCAGCTCCGTGCGCCCCGCTCGCTCCCCGCCGCCTGCTCTGGTGCTGCCGGGACGCAGAGGCGGGGCCGCCGCCCCCACCTGCTCGCCGGCTCCTGCCCGAAGCCACCGCCACCGCCGCCGCGCGCAGGGACGCTGCTCAGGCGGGGCGGGGTCGCTCTGGCACCCGGGAGGCGGGTCTCAGCCGCAGGGCGCGCCTCCCAGGTACACAGTCCCAAGTGTGAGCTGCAGGGACAGTGGGGCCTAGGGCTGATGTTCTCCAGACAGGGACTAGTTGACCATAGCCCAGCCCAGCCACTGTGGGGACATGCTACTCCTTCAATTTATTCCAACTTTTTCTGAGCCCTTGCTAAATTCCAATAGGCGTCAAAAACAATGGGGACAAAAAAGGGGACAAGACAGCCTTTTGCCCTAAGAAGTTCGCAGTGTTCTAGAAACAGAAACTAAGCAGGAGTGGTCAGAGGTCTAGTGAGCTCACATAGAGGGGTTACCTGATCCAGGTCAGAGAAAGAAGGCTTCTCAAGAAGTTGATGTCACCAAGGAGAATTGAAGGGTGAGCTCTGCGACCTGGAGAAGTGGGTCATTTTAGGTGGGCCCACAGCAGGGAGAAGCATGTTGACTACTGAGGTTGGTTGGTTGGTTTGGAGATACAGGAGTTAAAACTCAAGGCCTCACCTTTGCTAGGCAGGCGCTGAATCATTTGAGCCACCAGCGAGAAAGCACTTTGAAAACTGAAGTAAGCATGAAGACCCCAAAACTTGGTGTGGTCAGCAGATTCCTGCCCTACTTCCAATCTTGGAGAATGCAGAAGGCTTGTGTCTGAGACAGTGATGGGCAGGTGAGCATCTCCCGGATCCTGGGCATTCCTGCCACCTAAGGGTGTACTCCTGGACTCAACTTCATCATTCCACGTCTAATTACCGTAAGCCTGAGGTGCTGCAAGGCCCACGGTGGAGGAGGCAGGTCCTTTAACTAAGGAAAGTCTGGAGTGGAGGAGAGACCTGTGCTCAGTGCTTCTTCCAGGCTTGCAGGAAGTGTGTGGGAGCACAGGTGAGGGGGCAGTCTTTGCCAGCAGAGATATTTCATACAAGGATCGCAACCTGTCTCCAGGTTCAGTTTTGTAGCAGCTGCTGTCTGTTTCCCAAGCAGCCCTCAGCTATTTTCTTAATTGCGCTTGTTTATAGCCTGACAGTGTGTAGGCTTATGTTTATAAGGATAAATTATACACTCAGGATGTCTTTCACTCCTGCATTGACAAGAAAACAGGCTTCTCTTCCGATCTAGGTGAAGAAGTGTATATAGCCAGTGGAAACCAATGAAGGGCTTGGTTCCTTCTGCCTCCCCATGGCCTGTGTGCCTCCTGCCCTTTCATCCTTTAGAACTGTGAGGCATGAATGTGAATGTGAAGAACGTACTCCAGCTAAAACTCATAAATCATTTTGTATGAATGATTGCTACTAAAAAAAAAAATCCAAGACATTACCCAAGGACTCTCCTTCTCTGGGATCTTAATGCTTACTCATTAAATAATTGCTAGTGCTAAGTAACTGGACTGCTAGGGCTCTGATCAAAAAAAGAAGACAAAATGAACTTGCAGAGAAGACATTTCCATGGGCCCACAGAGTTCCCATCCCGTCTTCTGTTGAGCCCCTAAGCATGAGCTACTTGCACCGGATCACTGTTCTTAAGGGTAGGTGCTGGTACATGTCCAAAGGGATAAGGTGGTACATGAAGAGTCTAGAAAGTTGGGGATTTGGGATATGAAAAGTTCATAAGGCTTTGCACTGAGGTGCCCATGTCTCCTATCCATGTGCAGTATTCCTACCACTAGCATCTTTTCCTAAAGATGTTACAAGAACAGTCTTTCCCACCTAGCACCACCAGGATGTGCAAGAACTTCAAGAAGGCATTGGTTCTTCCTGATAGGTGATTTTTTTTTCAGTGACAGACCCTATGAATCACGTTCCAAATAGCCAAGTACTCTCCCCTTCTTCCCTATGGATAGAACCCAGGATCATGATTGGTCAAAGACCACCATGATGGTTCTGTTCCTCTCTGTCCAGCCTTTCTTCCAGCTAAGGAAGTCATTGATCTGCTTCCTGGCCAATGAGTTGAAAGAATGGCTTGTCCGAGGGGCTTCTGAAAAGTCTTGCTGTCTCTGCCTTTCCATTTTCCTTTCTCTTTATGCCTCAAATGCAAATGAGATGACTAGTGATGCTGCAATCAGATTGCAACCAAGAGACGGTAAATGTAAGGCCAGAAGGCCAATATGACAGGACAGCAGAGAGGAAAACAGTGTCAGTATGGTCTTGGTAGGCACTTGAACAAAAGCCAGCAGCTGGCTAACTCTGTACTATTTTGTATGTGAGAAAAAGAGTTCTGGTTGTTTAAGCCACTGAGATTGGGTTTTCTAAACTTGCAGCCAAATGTTTCCTAACTCATACAGTGACCTGGTAAATGGCAAATCCTCCCATCTCCTCCCATCACTCACTGAATGCTTGCAGTAGCTCACCTTTCACACGTTCTACTTGCAGCAATTACACTTACAGACATTTATTTCTATCTGTTCTGCAACATCTGGAGCTCTTCAGGAGAAAGACACTATAAAACTCTGAAATGTTTTGTACATACACTCACTTCAATTCCTCAAATGTTTATAGATCAACTGTTATATGGTGACATGCTCTGGTGCTGAGAGTGCAAGATGGATTCACAATCCTGCTCCCAGGGACTTAACAGCTTAGTAGGTGACACACACTTGCAAATAGATCATTGCACTTCCATTTAATAGGGGAATTAGTCTTGGCTAGAGAGATAATACAGAAGAAATAGTGGACCCTTCCAGGGCTGAGGGGGGAGGAAGGGAGTGTGATACCTGAGCTGAGCTTCCATGAATCGATAGAAATTTCTCTGGCAAGAAACTTGGGAAGGGAAGAGAAACTTGGGAAGGGAAGAGAAACTCTTAAAGAGCTTGGGGGTCCAGAAGCCTCAAACTTCCCTTGTCTGAAATAACTCATAGTCTTCCTCCCAGATCTTCTGGCCCACTCTCAGTGTTACCCATCTCCTCATCATCCAGACTTTAGACCTCAGACTTTACCTGCCGAGTCTGTACAATTTCAACTGTCTGCACCACCACCCTTCACCACTCTCCAGGACATCCACAGTAATCTCTTAACTGGTTATCAGTCTGTTTTTCATCACCATAATAAAATACTGGAGGTTGTATATTTATTTTTTTTTAAAAAAGGGTTTACTTAACTTCCAGTGTTAGAGAGTGAAAATTCAAACAGTGCCCTGCCACCCCTTTGGTTGGTTGCATCACCTCACAGCAGAGGCCATCACAATGGCAGAAGTGCCTACAAAAAGGAAAGATCATGGTGAGACAGAAAGCCAGCAGGCTGGTGGAGTGGCTCAAGTCCTAGAGCGCCAGCCTAGTGGGCAGGGGGTCCACAGTTTGAATCCACCAACCACCTTAAACAAATTTGCTAGAGGTTGTGGCTCAAGTGGTAGAACACCTGCCTAGCAAGAGAAAGGCCCTGAGTTCAAACCCCAGTACTGTCAAAAAAAAAAAAAAAGGTGTAGTTTTAAGTGCAAAAACGATAAAATAAATAAATAAATAAAAACTTTTTAAAAGAGCATTAAAAAAAAGAAGAAGAAAGCCAGTAATTCAGGGGTCAAACTTGTTCTTACGACTCCTTCTTGCAAGAGCTAATTCAGGATCCCAAGAGCACTACCTTAATCCCTTCTGAGGGCATACCCTCAATGACTTGACCAACTCCTACTAGGCCCCATCTCTTAAAAGTCCCATTGCCACACTGAGGACCAAACCTCTAACACATGAACCCTTGGGGTTCCACATCCAAACCAGAATGGTTGGTTTCTCCGTAAATATTGCTTCCCAAAGTAGTTAGAGAGATCATTTTGAAGCCCAGAGCTGATCTCATTAACTTCCATTATCTGTAATTAGGGGACTTCCCTTTACTCTAATGGCCATAACCAAGATCCCCAGCTTTGTGTGAAGGTCTGTCCTGGCCTTCTCTCCAACACATCTTTCTCAGCCTTCTCTTCCATCTCCAGCCGTGTAGGTCTGCTTTCAGAGATTTGAACAGGTAACTTTCCTCCTTGTCATGGGTCTTTGAACACACTCTTCCATTTTTGTAGAGAACATCCTAAGAATGACATTTTTCAACTAAACTCAGCCATCATTTGCCTGGATCTCAACTAGATCAGCTTGTCCTCTCATAAGCTCTCATAACCTCATGCATCTTTCTTTTGTAGCATGTGTTACAGTTGTAGCAATGACATTATATGTTTGACAATTTGATTCACATCTGTCCTTCAGACTAGACCATGGTACCCATGACCTTAGGAGTCATTTGTAACCATTGTGTCCTTATCTCACAGCACAGGACCAGCATGTAGTAGGCACTCAACACCTATTTGTTGAGTTATGAAAGAAAAGGACAAGTTGGAATTGGAGCCTTGAGCTATATATTTGATTTTTACTTTTATTTATTTATTTTTTAATGTTTAAAAAAATATTTTTGGTAGTTCTAAGGTTTGAACTCAGGGCCTTACGCTTGTCAGGTAGGTGCTCTATCACTTGAGTCACTCCACCCGCCCTTTTAATATCAACTTTACTAAGGGAAAATTTACATAAAGTACACTCACTTAAAGTGCATTGTTTTATGAATACTGACAAATGTATATGCCTTTGTAACCTCTACCTTTTTCAAGATAAAACTATTTCTATCACCCAAGAAAGCTGTGTGCCTTTGTCACCAGTCACTACTTCCTGCCCAAGGCAACCACAGATCTGCTAATATGTTAATTTTGTCTTTTCTACAGCTTTGTATACTAGAATCATACATGAGGATTTGAGATTCATCCACGTGTTCTGTGTAGTTTTTCCTTTTTATTGCTGATCAGCATTTTATTGTATGGGTATGCCAATATTTGTTCAGCCATTCACCTGTTGGTGGATATTTGGGTTGCTTCCAGTTTTGCAATATTGCAAATAAAACTGCTTTGAATATTTATGTAACAGTCTCTTGAAGATAAGCATTTTTATTTCTCTTGGACAAATATTTAGTAGTTTAAAGACTCATTACCATTTAAAGATAAAGCCTCAGAACCACAGTGAGATACTATTTCACACC